GGTTGGAAACAATATAAGAGGAAGAGGAGGAAGAGGATGAGGATGAGAAAGAGCAAGGTGTGGAGAATGTTGTCAAGGCTGGATATGCTTTAGGGGTTTTCCCTTTGCCTGCAGAGATTACATTGTCTGTGACGTGGGCAAAGTCCTCAGGCAGGACAAAACATGAAGACATGATGCTGAAGCAGAATAAAATCTCTCACTGACCTTTATTTTGCAGTTGCACAACTCTTTTGAGTGTACTGTAAAATGCTTTTCATTTAGAGTTCTTTACTGTAACCTTTTTGGGTTTTGCAGTTGGGTCACTGTATTTTCACAGAATACAAGTGCTGAATATACAGACATTCAATATACAATATTCAGTACAATACTATACTTTCAGTGTATACTGTATACAGTGTATACTGTATACAATTTATTCACCTCACTACTGTAAGTTGTCATTACTATACTTGTTTACGTAATTAGGGGCCAAGCACCGAATACCTATTGTATCTGCTCTTCTTTTCTTCTTCTTCTTCTTCTTCTTCTTCTGACTGGGCGTCTATGGCAGCCCATAGAACCGATTGCGGGAAAGTTGTAATGGTTTGACATTCTGATAGAGGACAGTTCCAACATTAAATACACCAATGTTGGTGTCTCTAACTCATTGCCTCTAGCGCCACCACCTGTCCAACTTTCACTCAAATTATGCTAATAACTTTTGAACCGTAAGGCCTATCAACAAAAATATGGCCGCCATTTTGAATTGTCCAAAAAACCTACTTTTGCGAACTCGTCTTAGACGGTTTGTCCGATTTTCACCAAAATTGCACCAGATCATCTCCAGGCAGTGCCGACAAAAAGTTATGGAATTCAAGTTGATTCGCTTAACTGTTTTCGATAAACGCACACAAACTAATTTTACGTAGCGCTTGCGAAAACAGAGGTAAGGCTGTATCTCCGCAACGCTTAATTGTATTCAGACCAAACTTGGTACATGTCATCACAATCATGACCTGAGGCTACATGCTGCGTTTCGTCGCAGCACCACCTACTGGTCCGGAGATATGAAATATGGCTATTTTTGCTTATAACTTCTGATTGCTTTGTCCAAAAATCATAAATGTGGTCTCGTTAGATTCAGGGCGTCATTCCGAGTCGACTGATATCCAATTTTCCCAGATCGACGATTTTGGCTGTCGGCCATTTTGAATTATGTGCTAAAATGCTGTATTTTCTGAACGCATGAACGAATTGTTACGAAACTCGGTATGGGTCATCAGTACGATGCCTTGAAGGAGCCTGAGAAGGTTCGAAACAGCGCAACCTAGTGGTAAAATTTATTTTTCAAATATATAACTCTGGGTGTGGTTGATTTATTTTCACGGGAGTCATCTCGTTGGGTTCCTGAATCCTTGCCGAGTCCACAGATACCAAACATGCTAGGTTTCTTCTTACCGTTTGTGTAGCGTTGTGATTTAGCGCTTAAAAACATTTGCCAATATCTTCAAAACCGTTAGTCCGATCGAGACGAAACCACCGTCAGAAGTTTGGAAACATAGATCGCTGGCTAAACACTAATACCCTAATGCCAAAATATTGATAGTAAGGGGTAGTAAAATTCAATCAAATTCACGTGTCAGTCATTTTGACGTGTTTTTTCATATTTATGTCTATAACTCCGAAGCGAATTGAGATATTTTCACCAAATTTGGCATGCATATGTATGGGCTCATTCTGAGGACACATGAAAAAAATTGTGGGATTTTGCCTCTTGGTGGCGCTATAATAGAACAAAACATAAAATTCCCATTGACTTCAATACAGTTTTGTGATGTAAAATGCTATACTTAAATGCATTGCTGTAACATTATGAAACTCAGAATTTGCCACCAACACCATCCCCTGAAGGTACTCAAAATATTTCGAGTTAGCGCCACCTATTGGTCAAAAGTTAAATAAAATTTCCAAAAATGCTAATAACTTTTGAATAAATATGCCTATTGTAATGACATGGTCTTAATAGATTCCTTGGGTCATGCTGAGAACATAGATACCAAGTTTGACGTATTTGGACGATTTTCCTGTCCGCCATCTTGATTTTCATTGAATACCTACTTTTTCAAACTCCTAGGCCGTTTGTCCGATTTTCACCAAATTCGAATCGTATCATTTCCAGACCGTGCTAAATAAAAGTTATGGATTTCGTGTTGATAGACGAAACCGTTTTCTTATACTGCAGCAGCATATTTGAGGCATGTGGCCAAAAGGACTATTCAGGCTTTATATCTGCAATGCCTCGACATATTGACACCAAACTTTGTATGTGTCATTGTCACCTCACTCTGACCACACCACATCAATTTCGTAACTGCGCCAGCTACTGGTCGAAAGTGATAATCCATTAAATCATACTTTTAGTTAATGTATATGATTTTTCAGCCATTTTACCAAAGTTCTCTTAAAATGTCTTTAATTGCTCCTTGCTGCAGTTGATCTGCCACTCCCCCCCATGATGGCATCTGTTGCTGTTTCTTGCGCTTGGCCCCGGTAATGGCTGCTTGCAGCTATATTTGAAAAATGTGGTTACTTTGTTACAATACACTATTTTTCTGTAACTGCATACTTTGGATTCTGTGTTCTCCATTATTTGATGTAGTTAATGATCTGTAGTGTTTATAATATTGACTCGCTGTGTATGATCTGAAAGCATAGTTTGATTTTGAGCACAAATAAAATGGTTTTGAGGAAATTATTTGATTTAGCCAGAAGAGTCAGAGATTCTCTGAATATGGTTTGAAAATTTGGTTTTGTGTTTAAGGTTTTGAGAAAGTGAGTGATGGTTTCAAGAAATGTGTTTTAGCAGTTCAGAAAAACTGTAAGTAGTAAAACTGATGACACACCAATAAGAATCTCAGGATAATATAAATGGGCCACGGTTGATTATGTGCTTTGGACAATGAATCCTAGTGGTGGGAGACGAAGAGGAAGAGGAGGAGGAGAGGATAAAATGAATGGGACGGGGTCAAATGACATTTGTTTCTGATGAAATACAAAGCACTATAGTTGACCATGTACTTGTACATGGAATGACCCTGAGGAAAGTTGGTCTACAGGCTCATCTACAGGGTTTTTACACATACAGTATAACACAGTAGCAGTACTTTAGATGGGAGAACTTTCACTATTCTATGTACAGCAAATTCTGTAGCACATATTTTACACCCTCAAACTCGTAAATGTAAAACTGATTTGTAGCCAAGCACTTCTTACATTTCATATTTTTACAGAACTGAGAGACGACTGCCTAGGGGAGGGAGAGAAAGTCTAATGTCAGAGGACTAAGAAACTGCTCTAGTATGGCAAATATTGTCATTATCTGTACTGAGATGCAATTTGGCCAAGGATACTGAATTACTTTTTTTTTTTTTTACTGTACTGTACTGTAATTGGCAGTATAGGCTTTTCTTTTCTAGTGCTTTTCATCGACTGAACTATCTCTTTACAGTACTCTTTAGCTTATTGTTGCATTTCACTGTATCTGCACCCTTCTATTTATGTTGTATACTGTAATAGATATTGAGCTGTAAAATGATACCTGATTGCCTAAAGGAGATTTTTGTTTTGAATTGATCTCACTAGTGTGTAAGACTATGTTGTAGAGTGTGTGTTTTGGAGGGCTTGTGTGTCATGTCTGAGGTCAAAGACAAGTTTGGTTTTTCAGCTAGATTGAATGGTTTTGGGTGGAGAGCTTAATTTTTACCTGAAAATATGAAGTACTAAACATTGCCTGTGATGTGGACAAAGTGCTTAGGCTGGACCCAACATGGATAACTGATGCTGAGGTAGAATTAATCTCTCATTGACTTTTTTTGTGTAGTGTAACATGCTTTTCATTTAGAATTTTATTTGACCTTTTGGGCTTTTGCAGTTGGACTACTGTTATTGTACAATATGCAAGTGATTATACTTAATTTCAATACTATACAATATTCTTTACAATAATATATCTGCTGTACAAACAGAATACAATACAGTATATTCACCTCACCAAGTTGCAATTATGTAACTGCTTTATTTATTTTTATTTTCTTTACATAACTTTACAATGTGTTTACTGTTTGCAATATACTTTTTTTTCCTGCAACCTCATGCTCCGGAGGCTGTTTTCTCCATTATTTATGTAGTGTCTAATGAATGATCTGTATTGTTTATATATTGACAGATATGTCTATGATCTGAAAGCTTAGTTTGATTTTGAAAACAGGTGAAATGGTTTTGAAGCAATTGTTTGATATTGCCAGAAAAGTCAGGGGGTTTGTGCATGTAGTTTGAAGATTTGGTTTTGTGTTTAATGTTGTGAGAAAATGGGTGAAGGTTTCAAGTAATGTGTCTTAGCAATTGTGAAAAACTATAACATGGGCACATTAACATCATGAAAATTAGGCTACAGAAAAGCAGTACATTTTCGGTCATCTTTGCAGTACTGTGATATGAAGAGTGTGCAAAGTAACATATTTTAGCAACAGTGTAAAAGTAAATAGCACATAACAGGCACAATACCGGTAAACATGAATATATATTGGTACAACATGGATCACATGACTAAACTTACGTCATCGTTTTCAAATACCTCCGGCTTCACAGTCCACACTACAACGCGAAAACGGCGTTTTCAAATTTATCCGCTTTGGAGAGCGTATTGCAAAAGCTACGTTTTCATTGACTTAAAACGCCGTCTCAGTGTGGACGGAAGGCCAAACCGGAGAGAAAAATATACGTTTTCCAACGAAAACGTATTAGTGTGGACATGGCCTAAGAATGAATGTTTTGGAGACAGGACACTTAAAAACATTTTCCAAATTTCTAACCAAATCCTCTAAAGTTCTACACTTTAGAAAAAGACTATCACCTTTAGCTACTTTACATAAACCACATAGATAAAAAGTATAGGACCCTCAATCATTAGTCAACCCATGCATGTGTTCTAACAAACTGCTCTGTCGATTCTGTCTCTGCAGATACACCAAGCTAAAAACTGCCACCAACATCTACATCTTCAATTTGGCCCTGGCAGATGCACTGGCCACTAGTACACTTCCATTCCAGAGCGCCAAGTATCTAATGAACACCTGGCCCTTTGGTGAGCTTCTATGTAAAGTTGTCATAGCCATTGACTACTATAACATGTTTACCAGTATCTTCACCCTCACTATGATGAGTGTGGACCGTTACATTGCCGTGTGCCACCCTGTGAGAGCACTGGAGTTCCGTACCCCGGTCAAGGCCAAAATCATCAACGTGTGCATTTGGATTCTCTCCTCCGCTGTAGGAGTGCCAATCATGGTCATGGCAGTTACCAAAGTGACAAACCAAGGTGAGCATATGTTTATATATATATATAAAAAAAAACAATTGCTGGATGATGTGTCTTGATATAACCAAGAAAATCAAAGTTCACCTTCTTTCTAGATCTGATTAAAACTGTTTACATTTATTCCATAACAGGTGCAACTGTATGCATGCTGAAGTTCCCTGATCCAGACTGGTACTGGGACACAGTGACAAAGATTTGTGTGTTTATCTTCGCATTTGTGGTACCAGTGCTAGTTATCACAATCTGCTATGGTCTGATGATCCTACGTTTGAAAAGTGTCCGAATTCTCTCAGGCTCAAAGGAGAAGGACAGAAACATGCGTCGAATCACTCGAATGGTTTTGGTAGTGGTGGCTGCCTTCATTATCTGCTGGACACCCATCCACATCTTCATCATTGTCAAAACACTTGTAGACATCAACCAAAAGAACCCCTTTGTGATTGCCAGCTGGCACCTGTGTATCGCACTTGGCTATACCAACAGCAGCCTCAATCCTGTCCTCTATGCTTTCTTGGATGAGAATTTCAAGAGATGCTTCCGAGACTTCTGCCCACCCTTCCAAACCAGAGCTGCCCATAATAGTCTTAACCGAGCAAGAAATGCTACAAGGGAGCCAGTATCAGTTTGCGCACCTTCGGAAGCAGGAAAGAAGCCAGTATGACTAGGCCTGGAGAGGATCCCACGGGGGTCCCAGTCCAGAAGAGTTCAGCAGGATCTTCAATCTGAGGTCACCCAAATCTCCACTACTGAATTCTAGGAACAGAATTTCCTACACCCTGGGAAGCATACAGCTCCACAGTACTCAATAATATATCAAGTTTTGTATATTCAGAATGTAACCAGAGAGACTGAGTTAAGCAGCTCTTCTCCTGCACCATTTATTACTTTGTATTGTGGATTGGCCCCAGTATTATTTGGAATAAATAACTAGCATACACAATGCAGAGCCTCTTCTGAGCCCAATGTTATGTCCAAAACAGGGTAAATTACATCAGTATTATCAGACTTTCAGGGTCTGGTGGACCTTCAGGGTCTGAAATCCTACTGGTACTGAGAACATAACCCGAATGAATGACCAAGCATTGAAATGGAGTCTGTAAACAACAGATGAATAAACTCTCTGTGACTGAAAATAAATTGCTGACACATCAAGAAATGAAACCTGAAACCTACAAAAGGAAACAGTGGAGATGAGGTCCAATTGGAGGACACTGGCTGAAAAGGAAACGTATTTTCAGCAGTTGATTATATATTTAATTTTCTCTGCCTTTCAGAGATATTGGACTGTAGACCATTGGGGAAAAATAAAACAAACATTGGACATTGATGTAAAACTCTCCTCAAATGTCTGTTAACCCCCAGTGAAACTCTGGAGAAATAATGGGAAAATATGTCTTGCCCCAGATTAGACAGCTGTTAAATTGGAGCAGAATGGAGAAAGGTGGTGTAATATGACATGCAGACCAGAGAGTATATGGTCTTAACCGGTTCATAGCGATATGGAAAAATAAATTATGGACATAATATTGAAGTATTATTAGCCATTATTGCTGAAGACCACCTTGTGATACTCTGCATCAACTCTCCAACTTACTCCATTTGTCCATGAACACATCTTCAGACAAACTTATTTTCAAAACTTGTCATTCCTCTTATGTATACAGTGAGGGGGTGTACATGGCAAATTCCTTCAGTTGCCTGGACATTTCCAATTAAGTTTACTTAAACAAAGAGTACACCAAACTAAAGAAACGCTCTAAATTACCATTTAGACTGTTGGAAGAAATCATCCATTAAATGTCATGCCAAAAACTGCATTAGATTGGCTTGGCTTCACTTTAAAATATATATTGAGTCCACAAAGCAAGATCAAAATTTACAAGTATTGTTTTTTACTGGAGTTCCGGATATACATTAGTATATTACTGACTTTTTTGAGTATTAGTGGAACATCATATAGCCCTTGGACCCTACAATCATTTTTGAATGTCTTGATTTTGACGTGTAATGAATGCAATGAGCAATTTGATCCGTGTTATGGCTTATATTCCTTTAGAAGCTGAAAGTGCTTTTTATAATCACTGTGCTTGTACTGTCAAGTCAAAAGTGTAGTAAAAGAGAATGTGCATAGATAAGTACATTCTGTTATTTTGGATCTCTTATTGTTGTTAGCGGTTCATTTTAGTCAATTTCCATAAAAAATTTCAAGAAATGGCTCTGCCATTTTATTTGAACATACCTCATAAATGCTTGGTGAATTTGAATGGCAATACATCATAGTAATTTAGTCGACTAAATTGATTAATTTTGATCTTAAACAAAAATAACATAGGCCTACTAGATGACTCACAACTCAAGACTAAGTGTTTTTGAAGCCTTGCCTCTGGATATTTTCTAGTTGTACTAGCTCACTGAGTCTTGATATTTGTTTTACTCTTATGATACTGATAATTGTACTGAGCTGTAATTTTGTTGATGATAAGTGATGTTAGTGAAATTGTTGCATTTTTTTGTGTTTGTGTTGCATTTTTAAGAATAATGATTTTTTTATTTATTTTTTTTTATAGAAGATTGTAAACGTTTGCAGGATAATCTGTTTTGTACATAATGTTATATTTAATTTGGTTTTAACCCTTTGATGCACAACATGGGTCTAAATAGACCCGACTGAGTTTTCATTTTCTATATCTTTGCAAGAAATTCATTTCATCATTCAGTATTCCAGGTATTTCTCAATTAGCTTGTTTTAGATCATTAAAAATCCTTATTTAAATTTTTCCTTTCTTACTTTTCGAATAAAAATCATTTTTGTGTCACTACCCTTCTAATGCGCAACATGGGTCTAAAAAGACCCGTATTCATGTTTCTTTGCTGAATATTCGAAAGAAATGTATTTTATCATTTATTAATCCAGGTATTCATTAAATATCTTGTTTTTGATTTCCACAAATCATTATGTTTATTTTTCCTTTCTTACTTTATAAACAAACATGGTTTTTGTATTTCTACATCAATTTTACACACATGGGTAAAAAATGACCCATATAGGAACCTTTGATATTATAAATACATTTACTGCAGAAAACTATTCATCTGCCACACATTTCACAATTCAACACAGCTGCTTTTGTATATTTCATGCATGTAAGTTTTATTTAATAAATTTTTGTCACAGAGAAAATATTTTATATTTTGTGAAAGACATCTAGATATGGCCTAATATTTGAACATTTAGGCTAAGGTTACCTTGACCTTGAAATCCATTACTAGTGCAAAAGAGAAACATGTCCAATACTATTAGCTAGCTTGCGGTCGATATATTCTATTTTATCTAATAGCTAGGTCAACAAAATAAAAGTTGCAATAGAAAGTTATATATACAAGTATATATTGTGGCTGTTGGGCAGAAACCTTGTACCTCCATATTCATTTTTATTTGTGGTCATAAATCAATGCAATCGGTCACATAAGCCGTCGTGTGGTGGCGTTCTGGTGCACTATGGCTGCTGTCGCATCATCCGGGTGGATGCTGCACATTGGTGGTGGGGAGATCCCCCTACAGTTGCACTACACTACAGTTCAATTTCAGTGTTATCGGTTATATGTGTGTTATGTGTGACAAAGTGGCCAATAAACATATTTCAAGTGTTACAGTAAATGTGTTGATCTAAATAACTGTGACATTGGTTATTTTAACAAAAAGCTTTCTTTATTCTTTTGTTTTATCACGCTTGCATAGATGGGTCATTTTAGACCCATGTGTGTAAACTTGATGTATTAACACAAAACCTTGGAAATATTAAAATATAATTTTGTGATAATAGAAAACAAGATATTTAGAATATTCATAAATCATGAAATTTATAGATCATGAAATATTAAATGCTCAAATAAAGTGATTTCAAAAGGTGAAACAAAAAAAAAAAGCCAATCCATGCATGAAATAACACAGGAAATGAATACGGGTCTTTTTAGACCCATGTTGTGCATTAGAGTGGGTATCCATAGCTTGCGCATCAAAGGGTTAAACTGCCAATAGGCCTGTTCAGGCATTATTTCGTAGGTTTGTAGTTAACATTACTAGAAAAGATGTGCATGTTTTGTTCTTCAACCTAATTTTTTTTCGGAGTCATATCTCGTAAAGCATTGTGTTTCAAGTTGACATGTACACTCACCTAAAGGATTATTAGGAACACCTGTTCAATTTCTCATTATTGCAATTATCTAATCAACCAATCACATGGCAGTTGCTTCAATGCATTTAGGGGTGTGGTCCTGGTCAAGACAATCTCCTGAACTCCAAACTGAATGTCAGAATGGGAAAGAAAGGCGATTTAAGCAATTTTGAGCGTGGCATGGTTGTTGGTGCCAGACGGGCCGGTCTGAGTATTTCACAATCTGCTCAGTTACTGGGATTTTCACGCACAACCATTTCTAGGGTTTACAAAGAATGGTGTGAAAAGGGAAAAACATCCAGAATGCGGCAGTCCTGTGGGCGAAAATGCCTTGTTGATGCTAGAGGTCAGAGGAGAATGGGCCGACTGATTCAAACTGATAGAAGAGCAACTTTGACTGAAATAACCACTCGTTACAACCGAGGTATGCAGAAAAGCATTTGTGAAGCCACAACACGCACAACCTTGAGGCGGATGGGCTACAACAGCAGAAGACCCCACCGGGTACCACTCATCTCCACTACAAATAGGAAAAAGAGGCTACAATTTGCAAGAGCTCACCAAAATTGGACAGTTGAAGACTGGAAAAATGTTGCCTGGTCTGATGAGTCTCGATTTCTGTTGAGACATTCAGATGGTAGAGTCCGAATTTGGCGTAAACAGAATGAGAAAATGGATCCATCATGCCTTGTTACCACTGTGCAGGCTGCTGGTGGTGTAATGGTGTGGGGGATGTTTTCTTGGCGCACTTTAGGTTCCTTAGTGCCAATTGGGCATCGTTTAAATCCCACGGCCTACCTGAGCATTGTTTCTGACCATGTCCATCCCTTTATGGCCACCATGTACCCACCCTCTGATGGCTACTTCCAGCAGGATAATGCACCATGTCACAAAGCTCGAATCATTTCAAATTGGTTTCTTGAACATGACAATGAGTTCACTGTACTAAAATTGCCCCCACAGTCACCAGATCTCAACCCAATAGAGCATCTTTGGGATGTGGTGGAACGGGAGCTTCGTGCCCTGGATGTGCATCCCACAAATCTCCATCAACTGCAAGATGCTATCCTATCAATATGGGCCAACATTTCTAAAGAATGCTTTCAGCACCTTGTTGAATCAATGCCACATAGAATTAAGGCAGTTCTGAAGGCGAAAGGGGGTCAAACACAGTATTAGTATGGTGTTCCTAATAATCCTTTAGGTGAGTGTATGTATCAAAATCCAATGCTAAATTTCTTCTTTTGGACTACAAACTGAACAGATCTATACTCTCACCATGAAACCATAAAGACAGCATAATCTGTATTGAAAGAGTAATGAAATGGTAATGTATTTGAAATGATACTTGACTTCATGGGGCTTCTCACTCTTGAAATAGTTAACCCTGGGTCATTCTAAACCCAAGGTAAACTGAAGTCTGGGTTATCTTGTTTCACGTTTCACATTGTTCATAATTTACCCGGGGTTAACAATTAATCCTGGGTATTCATAAACTGAAGTTTCATACTGTACATTCCTAAACCCTGGTTTAATGTCCTTATATGCAGTGTCAGTCTTATTGACTGGACAAATGCAGCACGC